AGATACTGGGAAGAGAGAGAGAGGCCGAAGGGAGTTGCTGCTCAYGTGTTGCTGCCAGGGAAGTCTTGCCTGGTCTTTCTCCACCGGGAGAACACACAAAGCAGAGGCAGAGGCAGCCAGTGCAGCCGCTTCATGGTGTTGTTTCCTCTGCCGCGCTGCTGGAGAGACAGTGCCTACTGGGAACAAAGCAGTACGGATGGGCCCTGCGCACCCACCTTTTGTTCCATCAGCTATTTGGAAATGGAAAACAATAATCACATTTAAATCTGGAGGCTGTTTTGCCTGCCGTTGTAAGCAGCTAGCCCTACCTAGTCCCCAGGTGCCTGCGACTCTGGCAGGGTGGCTGCAGAGGGGCCACAGCACACACAYATCTGGGGGTGACAGCACATGCACATCTGGGGACATCCCTGGTGTGTGGAGAATGAGCAGCTGCCAGACAAGGAGCCTGTCTCATCCTGTGCAACAGCATCCCTGTCAACCTCTTAGGCCATTACTCCTAAAATTAACATCCTGGAGAGCCTTTTATTTAAAAAGTCTTTGGGCATTAATGAGTAAATAGTAGACCAGAATTTGAAGGTGTCAGATAAATATACGGGGAGATTTGYGACAACAGATACTTCAGAAAAAGCCAGCAAAACAATTTCAAACAGGTAGTGTGCTGAGTCTGCCTTAGCTGAGTTCTTAAGCTCAAGGTGGACACTTAAACTATCTCCTTTGCATAAGCTAATGCTGGTGCATGGAAACGACACGTAGGGGTGTGAAGTAGACGAGTTGGACTCAGGGGAACACCAAGACTCATCTCTCACAGTGAGGTTAGTYGCATGGCAACTGCAAACCCACCTGTGACTCCACAAGCTTACAAGGATCCCCTCTTCTGAATCTTTTCCATGCTACATAAAGCTTCATAGGTCTGCAACTCTGACCTCAGCATTTCAGCATTGAGCTCAGATTCCTGTCTACCCTCCCAGATAATACGATCAGGAGTGGGCCTAACTGCCCTGAGGGACTGCAAAAGCCTGGTTGGATCTAGCACTTGTTGCCAGTGCCTGAAACACTGTTTGGGCAACACTGCAGAACCAACATGGACTGATCCGCTGCATTTTCCTTGCTGAATTAAGAAGGTATAAAACCCAAGCTGGGCCTTTGCACCTTTCTTAATACTCACCATTGATTTATTTAATCCTGTCAAAAGAGAGTGGGGAAATAAATTTATAACACTGGAGAACACTGCCCCCTGAGATGGCAAAATTCATTGGATTACACAACTGCTTGCTCCCAGTTTGTGCCACAGAGGACTGCACTTGATGGTAATGAGCAACTCTAATCATATTACATCTTCTCACCAGCTGCTTGTAACATGGGAGCTTAATCTTCAGCAGGCCCTATTGGTCCTCAAGGCCCTGCTGTTGGCTTGAAACATATCCTGCTCTTCCAAAAACATCAAATACATGTGGACAGCCATTCTGGATGATGCCAAAAGTCTGCCTCATGCTGTATCTTGTCCCTAGACAGTGCAGATGCTTGAGGGAAGAATATGAGAACTGAGTAAACAGAGTGGTTTTTTTCCCCTCCAGTCTGCAATGGTATTTTCTCCCAYCTTCCATCTATCCCCAGCTATGAGACTTCCCAAAAATAAAGTTGCATTTTTAGACTTGACAGTCTCAATTCCCCCATGCATTTTTCTAAATGATTTTTACTGTTCATGCTTGAATGAGGTAAAAGTAGATTCTATCACAGTGGCCCAGGAGTCCCTTTACCCATTCTTTTGAACGTCTCTCTTCTGAGTAGCTGCTTCTTGCCCCAGCACCTACCTTGCTGCACGATGGGCCGTCACTAACAGAAGCTGACAGAGGTCTCTTCCACACAGCTACTCGAACACATGGATTATCTACTAGAGCTGAGAAGAGCTGCTCATCTATAAGGTCACTCACACGCATAACTAAGGTTCAGCATTTAAGCACAATACCTACAACACTACCAGGACAGCTGCACGTAGCTGAACCCAGAGGACATCCCCTCCAGTAGCCTCTCCCTCCCAGTGGTCACTGACTKATGTCTAGGGGGAGAATAAGCAAAGAGATTTCCTTGTAGACAGCCTCTCTCAGCTAGATCCAGAAGACACGCTTGTCAAGGACCCAGATACAGGTGACCCTGAGTGACACCCTAGAAGCTGCCAACACAAAAAAATACATAAGGAAAAGTGATAAGGGTGTTCTCTTAAAAAAAAAAAAAAAAAAATTCCCCTAAAGCCCTTAAAAAAAAAAAATCCCCTCTTGGTAACTTTCATCCATCACAAAGTAACAGCAATTTCAGTAATTCCAGTAAACCTTATTTACAGCAGACTTATTTCAATATGCTCTTATCAGCCTCAGCTGCCACCTCATTCAGTAAATCAGGCAGGACAACCAAAGGAGCCTTTTGATCACAGCAGCAGACACACACGCACAGTTACCATACCATAAAGGATGCCCAGAACTAGAAAACCCCTACTTTGTCCTGTCCATGCATTAGGACACACAAGGCAACAGCCCATATAAGAGAAGAGCAACACATCACAGGCAGCACTAGCTGTTTTTGCACWGAAACCCAGGAGCAGGAGACCCAGGGTGCTCAGCCAACAGAGCTTCATTTTCTGCAAGTCAGCACACAGAGGTGTGGTGAGCTTGCCTGCACGAGCACACCCAGGCTTTAAGCAGCCCAGCTGAGGCCAGATCTCATTTCACCCATGTGTTTCTGATTACATGCACAAGCCAATGGGCACCAACTCTTCAAAGGCACCAGCAACAGCAGCTGTGCTTAAGCAGCAGGTACTTACCAGAAATGAGCCCTGCAAACAGTCGAGGCACTAGCAGAGGATCACTGGTGTCTCAAAGCAAACGAGCCTGGGAGCAATCTGCGCTGCATTAGTTAATGACACAGAAAAGTCAATACTTCATCTCAAATAGTGAGGGGCAACATGAAAGATAGCRCAGGAGCCTCCTTCCTGACGGTAACTGTCTGCAAATGCAAGCCCAGGGTGAAGCTCYTTGGAGGGTGCAACAAGCAGCCGGAGTGCTTGAAGGGTCATGGGTGGTGGGCACCGCAGCTGAGCAAGGCGTCTAGTGCCACCCTGGCCTGAGCGTGTGCAGGGGAGCAAGCTCCATTCTTCCCAACACCCCAACTTGTGGCTTCTCCGGGRCACACCCAGAGCAACAGAATAGCTGGGAAACGACCCACTTGCCCAAATTTTCCCCACCCTTCCTGCTGCCGGGGTTAAGCTTCTCGTGTCATATTCTGGGAGGCTGAACCTGCCCTGCTTTCAGAGGGGCCACGGGCCCAGCAGCCTTGACGCCCCAAAACGGGACGAGGCAGAAGGCCGCCAAGCCCTGATGTCCTCAGGCCGCCCCATCCGCGCCTGGCCCCAGCACCAGAGCCAGGCACCTGCCTAAGGCCCAGGGTACGCGGCGTGCATGAAGGAAACCTGAAGGAATCGAGGGAAAGGGGCCCTGAGCACGGTCAGAAAAGGGGCAAGAAAGGGTGACGCCAGCACCAGAGCTCCTGCAGGGGGAGGAAAAAGCCCCTGTCCACCCCTTCCCACCCACCCCTGCCCGGGAGCACAGAAGGAAGATGCGATTTCCCGAGCTCTGGAGCCTTCGCCCCCATCGAGGCAGTGCAGGCCCCAGGCTACGGAGCAGCCCCGTCCTGGCCCTTACGGAGCAGCGCTAAGAAAAGCAAAGCAAGGAGCTTCCACCAGCCTAACCGCACGGGATCGCGCAGGAGAGGCAGAGCCATACACAGAGGAGAATTTATTTCCAAATACCTCATTTATATCATTTTCACAGGAAATATTTCTTTCAGAATATAGCCTACACTTAGAAGATAATTTTATAAGGCACATCAGATTATAGACTACATAGAGACATTTCCCCCTCACTTGCGTTCATAAAATACTGGTGATTTTAAAAGTAATATTCTATAACCTAGACCCTGTGTAGCCCCACGTAGAGCAGTCTTCATAAAGTTATTAGACCTCAGCTTACATACACCTAGTAAAAGGCTATAACAAGTTGTATGTACATCACATTTTCAGAAACAGTCACAGCTGGCTACATTTAAAAGTAAYGCTACTCCAGACTATGAAACAGGCTGCTTTTAAAATATAATCTACTGCTTCCCGTATGGTAGGATACAAAGCATTATGATCTTGTGGAACTGATCCTGTTATTTTTGCAAGTGAGAGTTGCTCAGATTCAAGCCTTTCCCCTTCCAAAAACRACATTTTCGATAAACTGAGACCATTTTACAGTGAAGCGAAGCACCTAAGGGAAATGTGGCTTGATGGTTTTCCCCAAGATGACAATATGACTGTGTATCTGAAATCCTGTCAAACGTTAGAGTACAAAATATAAAGGCTCAGGTGTTAACTTCATGACTAGTAAACATTAAACTATTATGAACCAGATGCAACCAGGTTAAGGGCATCCAGCTTCTGTGCTATGGGATCTGCTTTTCTAGGTTCTTCCAGTGCAGAAGCCAACACATTTTTATTACATTAGGCCCCATGTAAAGATTTCCATTCCATTTCAAAGTTTTCAGGGCTGGAATGCTATGCATTCTGCACTGATTTTGCTGTACTGGAGGAAAAAATATTGCTTATGGAGCTTGCCAATATAACCCAGAACGCATTTACATAATGTCATTTTGTTTGATGGGCCAGGAGGTAAACTCTGGGTAGCTTTATCCAACGGCTTCCACAGTTGCTCTTTACATCAGGCATTGATTCATTTAAGATGAAAAAAAAGGTTCGGTTTTTGTGTCACTGCAATTTAGCTTAAGACGATGAAAAAGGTCACTTGAAGGCTAGAGCCACAGTGGGG